CCTAGTGTCGCGGACCCTGGTGCTGGAGGTGCTACTGCTGCTGGCGGTGCTGCTGGTGCTCCTGGAGGTGCTGCTGGTGCTGGTGCTACTGACGCTGCTGGAGGTACTGCTGGTACTGGTGGTACTGCTGGTGCTGCTAGAGCTGCTAGAGGTACTCCTACTACTGGAGCTGCTGCTGGTGCTGAGGACCCGGGTGTTGGAGCTGCTGCTGGTGCTGCGGACCCGGGTGTTGGAGCTGCTGCTGGTGCTGCGGACCCTGGAGTTGGAGCTGCTGCTGGTGCTGCCGACCCTGGAGTTGGAGCTGCTGCTGGAGCTGAGGACCCTGGAGTTGGAGCTGCTGCTGGTGCTGCGGACCCGGGAGCTGGTGCTGCTGGTGTAGCTGGAGACCCTGGAGCTGAGGGTACTGGTGGTGCCTCTGCTGGTTCTGGAGGCGCTGCGCGGCCGCGGCCGTACTTCGTTCCGCTCCTTCAGCAGGTTCTTGGTCAGCCGCCTCCCCCTAGTCCTGCTCCCTCCTTAGAGTGTCCTCCGCCTGTCCAGTCGCAGTCACAGTTACCGCCTGCCTCGCCACTCCCTGGTCCTTCTCCTTACACTGGTCCGACTGGAGGTCTTACAGAGCGTCGTGAGCCTGAGTCTCGTCCTGCGTCGCCAGAGTCTCGTCGTGCGTCACCTGTTCGTGCTGCTCACACTGGTCGTCGTGTTCCGCGTCAGCGTCCTCCTGCTGTCCCAGGCACTCACCAGATGGCACTTCGTCCTTCCACTGCTCCTCAGCGTGTCCCTCTGCCGTCTCCTCCTGCGTCTTCTCTTCCTGCTCTTGCTGACCCGGAGTCTGACTCCCTTCGTGCTGCCAGTCCTACTGTCACGCGTCTCCTCGCCACAGTTGTCACTGACCCTTCCTTTGAGTCCTCTGCTGCGTCTGCTCTAGTCGCTGAGTTAGTTGACTTTGCTGCCACTTGTCGTCTAGACTACGCCGCTAGCCTTGTCGCTGAGTCTGAGTCTGAGTCTGTCTGTCCTTCGTCCGTCGGGGGTGAGTGTGCTCTTGGCACGGACGTCCTTGAGGACAGGCAGGAGGAGTTTGAGTGCTTTGCCGCTGCGTTACCTCATCTCGTGTCCATGCTGGTTGCCCCTGAGGGAGACCCGGATGCTCCAGACATCCCGACCCCGCGCTCTTACGCTGAGGCGATTGCGGGTGAGTACTCCTCTCAGTGGCAGACAGCCATGGACGCAGAGATAGCTTCTTGGAAGTCCACAGGCACCTACGTCGACGAGGTTCCCCCACCTGGGGCGAACATCGTCAGTGGCATGTGGATTTTCAGGGTGAAGCGGCCGCCGGGTTCTCCGCCTGTCTTCAAAGCGCGTTACGTTGCACGAGGCTTCAGTCAGCGAGAGGGAGTTGACTTCTTCCAGACCTTCTTCCCGACCCCGAAGATGACCACTCTTCGGGTTCTGCTGCACGTCGCCGCTCAGCGTGACTACGAGCTCCACTCTCTTGACTTCAGCACAGCTTTCTTGCAGGGCAGCCTGCACGAGGAGATCTGGCTGCGCCGCCCACCTGGCTTCACTGGGTCGTTCCCTCCTGGTACCCAGTGGAGCCTCCGACGGCCAGTCTACGGTCTCCGCCAGGCGCCGCGTGAGTGGCACGACACACTGAGGACTACACTTGCGGCTCTTGGGTTCGCTCCTTCTACTTCTGACCCGTCGCTGTTTCTACGCACCGACACTTCACTGCCGCCGTTCTACATCCTCGTGTACGTCGACGACTTGGTCTTTGCCACTGCTGACACTACGGCACTCGCCCACGTGAAGTCGGAGCTGCAGAAGAGACACACGTGCACAGACCTGGGTGAACTGACAAGCTATCTTGGCTTGCGGATCACCCGGGACAGAGCACGGCGCACCATCACCTTGACTCAGTCACACATGGTGCAGCAGGTCCTTCAGCGCTTCCGCTTCACGTACTCCTCGCCTCAGCCCACTCCTCTGCCTACCGGTCACTCGCTCTCAGCTCTGCCTTCGGATGAGTCCGTAGAGCCGAGTGGCCCGTATCCAGAGCTTGTGGGCTGCCTCATGTACCTGATGACCTGCACTCGACCTGACCTTGCATACCCTCTTAGCATCCTTGCACGCTATGTCGCTCCTGGTCGTCACCGGAAGGAGCACATGGATGCCGCTAAGAGGGTGTTGCGTTACTTGTGCAGTACGTCGGGCATGGGGCTAGTGCTTGGAGGACGAGACCGAGTTGTACTCACTGGGCACTCAGACGCTTCTTGGGCTGACGACCAGGCTACTCAGCGGTCGTCTCAGGGTTACACCTTCAGCCTTGGCTCTGGTTCTGTTTCTTGGCGTTCTACACGCTCGTCTTCCGTTCTCAGCTCCAGTTGTGAGGCTGAGATCTACGCCACAGCCATGGCTGCACAGGAGTTACGCTGGCTCACCTACCTGCTGACTGACTTGGGAGAGCGGCCTCGTTCTCCTCCAGTGCTGTACGTCGACAACAAGGCTACCATTGCCTTGTGTGAGGAGCACAGACTGGAGCACAGAACGAAGCATATCGCTCTACGGTACTTCCTTGCTCGAGAGCTGCAGCAGCGTGGTCAGCTTCGTCTGCGTTACGTGGCCACTCGGGCCAACACTGCTGATGTGTTCACCAAGGCGCTTCAGCCTTGTGACCATCAGCGCTTCTGTACTGTTCTAGGCCTTGTGCCTACTGTGCCTCACTTGCTTACTTCTTGACTCTGTTTGTACTGTGATCTCTATATATATACCTGCATACTTACACTTGCTAGGTTGTGCTCACTGTACCCCTTGCTATATTATTAAACTGCATGTGAACTGGTCTTGTGACCACTTGCTTGTGCTCGGAATTTGTGTGGTTTCCTCGAGATCCACCCTGAGCTTGCTTTGCCCTTCCTGACTGGTCTTGTGACCACTACTTGCTCTGGCTATCCCCCATTTCGCCTATGGGGGTGTGTCAAAACATATGCATAATTGTATCTAGGCCATATTGGGGCTAGCCTTAGGGGGTACAGAAATAGTCTCGACACTCTAGTCTTGTACCTCAATCTTCACCTAATCATCAACTTTCTCGTTCCCTAGCTAGTGATTCTAACACCCTCTTAGCATCCTAGCACGCTATGTCGCTCGTGGCCGACACAGGAAGAAGCACATGGATGCTGCTAAGAGGGTGTTGCACTACTTGTGCAGTACGTCGGGCATGGGGCTCGTGCTTGGAGGGCGAGGTCCAGTTGTCCTCACTGGTCACGCAGACGCTTCTTGGGCTGACGACTTGACTACGCAGCGGTTGTCACAGGGCTACACCTTCAGCCTTGGCTTCGGTTCTGTTTCTTGGTGGTCTACCCGCTCGTCTTCTGTTCTCAGCTCCCGTTGTGAGGCTGAGATCTACGCAGGGGCCATGGCTGCTCAGGAGTTACGCTGGCTCATCTTCCTGCTGACCGACCTTGGAGAGCCGCCTCGTTCTCCTCCAGTGCTGTACGTCGACAACAAGGCCATGATTGCCTTGTGTCAGGAGCACAGACTGGAGCACAGAACGAAGCACATCGCTCTGCGCTACTTCCTTGCTCGAGAGTTGCAGCAGCGTGGTCAGCTTCGTCTTGCTTACGTGGCCACTCGGGCCAACACTGCTGATGTGTTCACCAAGGCGCTTCAGCCTTGTGATCATCAGCGTTTCTGTACTGTTCTAGGCCTTGTGCCTACTGTGCCTCACTTGCTTACTTCTTGACTCTGCTTGTACTGTGATCCTTATATATGTCTTCCTGCATGTTTACACTTGCTAGGTTGTGATCACCGTACTTCTTGTTGTATTATCAAACTGCATGTGAACTGGTCTTGTGACCGCTTTCTTGTGCTCGGAATTTGAGATCCACCCTGAGCTTGCTTTGCGTTTCTGGACTGGTCTTGTGACCTTCTGTTCTCCCCCACTTTGCCTATGGGGGTGTGTCAAAAATATGTTATAGCCTGTTTAGGCTGTAGTGGGTTAGACAATAGGGGGTACAGCATTTCTAGGGTTTCCCTATATGTACCCATCTCCGTTCTTATTCTCACTGGACGGGCAGGGCGCTCGGGGCGCATGATGCAGAGGGCCGCGCCCAACTCGCTGTCGCACTCTTAGTTGAGGCCGCTGCGACCGTCGAAACTAAGGGCGCGCGAAGGGCGTAACGAAGGGCGTGACGAGCGCCATATGCGGAGAAATCGGTGGGCCCATTAGGAACGAAACCACTCTAAGACCATGTCAAAGTAGTAGATAGAACTTAGTAGCCATAACTAGGGTTTGGGGTAGGAGGGGAGGAGCATGTCGAGAGAGTTTAGCAAAAAGAGGAGTTTCACTATAGCAAACAAGGAACATATAGGTGAGAGAACAAGAACAAGAGCTACACCACCAAGCAGGAAAGTAAGATAACTACACTACAGCTAGAACTACATGCAGTTATAACAATATAATTATGACACCAGGCGCTTATAATTGGCATATGGCGCTTATATCCTATCCTCGATTATAAGCCCACCCCTGAAGGCTTACGTATTATAAGAGCCACCATTTGTATTAGTTTTTATAAAGTTACTGGAATCTCTGTAGCGAAACACACAATTTGCATCCTGACCTTTTGAAATTTCAACCCTTCACCCTCGCGCGACTCGCCGCTGCCTCACCCTCGCGCGACTCACTGACTGCGCGTCCAGTCAGAATGAGCTGTCATGGGGCGAAATGACTCATTCTAACTGTGTCTGTTGGCAGCTTGCAAACTTACGCGAGATTCTTGTTCACAACCCTCTATAATCTTGACTCGATTGAAATTGCAATGACAAGATAACACTTTGGAGTGAAAACAACAAGATTTCATATATGTCATTGTATAAGCCCCGGCGCTTATAAATTTACTCGATTATAAGCCCACCCCCCTAAAAAAACATGTTTTATTATACCCCCCATGGGGGCATATCCGGGGGGTGACGGTATATCTAGAGAATTACGGTATCCTGAATCACTATGCTGATTGGCCTTCAACCTTCATGGCAACCTTCATCCCCCTAAGGCAGTCATTACCAACGCTACTGGTAAAGAATCCCAAGTACTTGGAACTGCTTGCTTGGAGCTTAAGAGTGCCATGCTTCGATGCCTTGGTGAGGACGTAGAAGATAGCCTCATTATTCCCGAAATAGCACGAGCTGAAGCGCTGAGCAGAAATGGCCACCACGTTGTGCTTGTGCCGCCAATCATTCCACTTGAACACTGTTGTACACATGACACGATGGCAAGAAAAGAAAGCGAGTGGGGATTTTGCGTCGACTCAAAAGTCACCAATGGCCACCACGTTGTGCTTGTGCCACCAATCATTCCACTTGAACACTGCCGTTGGGGAGAAGTGCCGGAGGGAGAGGGTGAGTACGGGGAGTAAGAGCGTAAGAGATGGTAGAGCAAGTCAATGAAAATTTGAAAGAGTGAGGTGAGAGAGCGAGCCTTGCTGTTGGTGACATTGAGGGAGGGAGGGAGGGAGGGAGGGAGGGAGGGAGGGAGGGAGGGAGGGAGGGAAGGAGGGAGGGAGGGAGGGAGGGAGGGAGGGAGGGAGGGAGGGAGGGAGGGAGGGATGGAGAGTGTAAAGAATGAGGTGAGGGGCAGCAGCAAGAACTGACCGACTGTGTCACCCGGGTAGATGCGGGGGGGCGGCCATGTGACTGTGCATGCGACAGCGCATGCGACAACAGTGCATGCGACAGTGCACACAAGGGTTAGTACCAGCACGATGTGCATGCGACAACACAAAAAGTGGAGCAGCCCCTGAATAAGTGTGGCTTCAAAAGGTCGCCGCGGGTGGCACATTGGGATCAGTGCGGGTGGTGCATGGGGATCAGGGTGGCGCATTGCTTGGCAGCGGCCGCGGCGAGAGACAGAGCTTACCGCAAGAGCGGCAGTGCGGATGGTCATCCACGGAGTGTCCAGCGAGCCTGGCAGCACAGCACAGCAGAGAGCAGCACCGCACACACAGCACAGCACATGTGAGGGCACTGGGAGGGAGACACGCGATGATGGAGCCCCAAGTAGGAGACATTGCGTGGCAGCAGCTGTATTGTTTAGTGAAGATTTCTTGTCCAGAGCACAGCACCGCACCGCACCGCACACACAGCACAGCACATGTGAGGGCACGGGGAGACACGGGGTCATGACAGGTGCGGTTGTGAGCGAGCAGTGACATGCAGGGCAAGACTCGGCTATCACTGCTCGCTGCCAGCACACCGCTTACCTGCCAGGAGCAGCAGCAGCAGCAGCAGCAGCAGCAGCAGGCAGACGGGGCTCCACTTGACGGCCGCCATTGAAGCGCCGAGGTCGGAAAGCAAGTCCGCGAAAGCGGGTCCGCCGGGACTAGGACCGGGAGAAATCCGGCGGTAGGTCCAGGCGTAGGTCCCGGCGTAGGTCCGGGCGTAGGTCCGGGAGTAAGCCCGGGAGTAATTCCGGCAGTAGGTCCCGGAAAGACTGGGAGTAGGTCAGAAGACGGCGGGCGGAGCACCAGCACGGACCGGCCGTGAGTCCACAGGGCGTTTGACGAGGAGGGCCGCAGAGAATTACGTGCGACGAGGAGAGGATGAACACTAGAGTGCATGGGATGGGAGGGAGCGATGAACTGTTGCGTGGTTCATTTCGGCGGCTCATTAATTGTCGGGAGCAGCAATACTGATGAACTACACAGGTCCGGGAGCGAGCCTGGAGCATCGGCGCGCTCAGGAGTGAGCCATTCCGCTCTGTGGTCGCGCCGTTCACATTGAAACGCGCTCCATGCCGCGGCGCAAGGCGGCGGTTGGCGCGCGTGAACTTCGTCCGAGAAAATAAGAAAAAACATCGAAGCACGACACCACAGCGCGCTTTCCCAGCCACATATCCACGGCCGCGCCATATCCAACAGAATGCACGACTCATGGTCGGGAGTCTATCCCTTTGTCCAAATTTCCTGGGGATCGCGCTACCCCATCCAGCATCGATGCCATTTGCAGGGCTGTCCGATTCGCTCGACCCACTAAGCTTCTGACCCCTATGCTGGCTTGCTGGTCTGCCTGTTGCCCGCAGAACAGACACAAGTCCACCACTTCACCTAATCTCTCTTATACTGACGCTTACCTAAATAATAACCTTCAAATAGACTCAGGCAAATCCTGGTTTGTGTCGAACTCTGTGACTAAGTAGAGAGGAACCGGAGGTTTGGAAGACCTAAAAAAGGCTCACGAGGCCGGAAAAAAAGAGGCTCGTAGGAGTTAGACCTGAGCCCAGAATCATCATTTGGGGCTTCTATCAAGAAAACAAGGGAATTGCTGCCAAGCTGCTGCAAGGACCACGAAATTTCCTCCACCACCTTGCCTTCCGCGAAGGTGGTACTCATTCCTACATGACGCAAGCAACTTTCGATTGGTCTGGGATCCAAACGTAAGAGCCTCAGCTGCCTGGAAAGCTGCCCTGACTCTCACGGGCAGCGGCCCAAATGAGCCTGTGTGGAAACCAAGGCCTGAATTACAAAAAAGGAGAGGCAAACTCTGCAGAGTTTCCCTCCCAAGCCCAAAGTTGACCCCCGAACCTCTCTGGTAACCAGATATCGTCAGACAAAATACCAAGAGGTTGTAGGGCCGAAAAGGTTTTGTCGCGCGTGTCGTCCCAACCACCCCCTCCTGTGTTGACTTGGGATGTGCCTGTGCACAATCTGGAAACTTGTAATTCAGGTCGCATAATGACTCAGTATGTGAAACTCCCAGTTCACTATCAAGAAATAGAACAAAAAGCCGATAACGCACTGGCCGGCTTTACAAAATACCTGAGATAAGTTTAGGGTAGTAGAGAGCTACGACGTAAGCTCTTTTTACTCTGTGTCCATCGGGAAATTTCGGGGTCCCGCTTTCGGTTGGGAAACCACTAGCTAGCGAATAGTTTTCTACCCCAGGCAATTGCCTGGTTTTGGCGATTGGTTTGCTAGGCTAGTGGCATCTAGCCCCCGAGTGGTTTTCGGTTGGGCGAATGCCTGGCTGCCGAGCCTGCAGAAATGTTACGGAAAAAAATAGCAAGTGTGTTACGGACACCTGTGTCGACCTCATTGGGCGTGAGTTCAGGCCCGATTCGATGTCACGTCAGCAAAACGTTCCCGATAAACGCCGAGTTTAAAAAATCTTAGTGGCCCAAGTCAAATAAATGAATTTAGTTTATTAAGATCAATTAACAAAACATTGTTCGTACCGTATGGCCCCGGATATAAGCGCCGTCCGTTTAAAAGCGTCGGCGCTTCTATATGGAGCATGCGCTTATAGCCGCGAATCGATTAGAAGCGCCCCCCCCTGTAAAACCCTGATTTATTATAAGCGCATGCATATTTTTATTTTACAATCCTGATCAAAACGGTAACGAATTTCGAATTTCAAGCAAGTCAATACCCATTTTCAACTTGTTTGGCTTTCGAAGGCTTCACTTGTTGCGCGTCCAGTCAGGATGAGCTGGCACGCGGGCAAAGTGACGTGCCAAATCTCTGTGCACAGTCAGGAAATCGCCCTCGCGCGATTCTGATTCAAGACGCTGTAAAAGTTCGATTCGATTGAACGTACTATACTGAAATGTAAAATTTGGTGCGTTTAATTTGTATTTCTGTATTTGTTATTATATAAGCGCCGGCATGGCCGATACTCAATTACAAGCGCCCCCCTTGAAAAAAACTGATTTTATTATAAGCGCATATGCGCTACTATCCGGGGTAATACGGTATAACGGAAGTGACCCTACACCAGGCCCTACGATATCAGGATTTTTTTCCTGAAATTCCTGATTTTCAGGGATTTTTTTGTACCTACCCTGATTTTCCAGTGTTCAGCATTTTGTGGGACTGATTTTTCAGCATTTTCCTGCCAGATGACTCTGAACTTTCAGGATTTTTTTTATAAGGACACTGATTCCACTACGTTGTACCGAAACTGACACTGAATGCAATTCCTAAACGTTCCGAGTGTAGTTGCCTGAAAGTACAGGGAATCTCAGATTCCCGCGGTGTCAGCACTGCCTGGCGATGACTACGAGACAAATTTGCCCCGTGCTTTTCACTTTGAGGGCTGCTTTGCTGGCGCGCCTGGTCAGATCTTTGACCAATGACAAGGTTGCAACACATCGATGCTGGCAGGCTGCGATGCGGGGGGTGGTGCTTGCACCTATGGTCATATGGCGCGTTTTGTCTGATGCATCCCCCAGCCGTGCTACCTGCCATCCAGACTTCAATCCCATTCTGCTTCAATACAATCCAGACCCTCCAACAATGCAGATGCTGCCTATGCCAATACAATTCCCGTCACGTTCAACAGGACTCTCATTGATCCAACACTGCACCACCCGTGCCTGCCTGGAGAAAGATGCAGGGTCCCCTGACTGCTTGAACTGGGCTTTGCCGTGCGGGTTTCGAAGCTTGAATCGAACCTGAAACACATGTCAGAACTATGCATTTATATGCTCTAGGCTGTAGTGGGGCACTCCTTATGGGGTACAACCCAATTAGGTTTTGCTATACAAACCCTGTACTGCTGTCATTCAAGTCAATCATTCTTTCCTATTTCTAACATGGTTTCAGAGCAGGTTCCCTAGTGGGAACGTTTTTTGTTAGGGCCCACCACGATTTTTTTTTTCCTGCCCTGCCCGAAGCGCGCCTCGCGCCTGCCTCACCTGCACCGTCGCGCGCCCTGCCCTACTGCCGCACGTAGCGGCCCTGCCCTCCCGGCCTGTCGCGGCCCTGCCCTAACGGTCCGTCGCGGCCCTGACCTAGCCGCCCGTCGCGGCCCTGCCCTAAGCACGTGCTCGCGCGCCCGCCCTACACGCGCCGTCACGCGCCTGCCCTGCCCTGCCGCCCGTCGCGGCCCTGCCTAACCCGCCCGTCGCGGACCTGCCCGACCCGCCAGTCGCGGCCCTGCCCTACCCGCTGTCGCGGCCCTGCCCTGCCCGCCCGTCGAGCGCTGGCCCTACCCGCCCGTCGAGCGCCTGCAGCCGCCCGTCGAGCGCCTGCCCTACCCGCGCCAGTCGCGCGCCTGCCCTACCCTCCGCTGGTGGCACCTGCCCTACCCGCCCCTGGTGAGCACCTGCCCTACCCGCGCTACCCGCGCACCTGCCCTTCAAGCGCGCTGCCGCGCCTGCCTGCCTGCCGAGACGCGCCGCCCAGCCGAGCCGCGCCGCCCAGCCGAGCCGCGCCGCCCAGCCGAGCCGCGCCGCCCGGCCGAGCCGCGCCGCCCAGCCGAGCCGGGCCGCTCTGCCAAACCGCGCCTCCCTGCCCTACTGAGCCGCTGCTGCTACTGCTGATTCAGCTTCTACTGCTGATTCAGCTGCTACTGCTGCTACTGCTGCTACTGCCGCCATGGCTAGCCCTAATGTTCTTACCTTCGATGCTGATGGTCGTGCGGTCGATTTTGACGTTTGGGTAGATGACCTGCAGCTCTATCTTCAGTGCTACTCTAAAGACGGAGTCTCGCTTTTCGATCACACGTGCGGCACCTCTGTAGCACCTGCTGCCACTGCTGACAGTACTGTTCGCTCGCAGTGGACTACTCGTGACGCTGTTGCTCGCCTTGCTGTTCGTAGTCACCTGCCGTCTGCTGAGCTCGCGCACTTTGGCCAGTACAAGACTTACAAGTCTTTGTATGACGCTGTCGTCGCACGCTACTCCTCCCCTGCCTTTGCTGCCCTCAGCCGCATCATGCTGCCGTACTTGTTCCCTGACCTGGCCGCCTTTGCCACAGTCGCTGACCTCATCACTCACCTCCGCACTAGTGACACCCACTACCACGCTGCGCTTCCCGCCGAGTTTTGCGCCAAGAACCCCCCCCCCCCATGTACATCACCCTCTTCTACCTAGTCACCCGTCTCCCTGACTCTATTCGCTCAGTCAGGGACCACATTCTCTCTCTTAGCCCCTACGAGCTCACCGTCGACCTGCTCGAGGAGCGCCTCACTGCAGCTGAGACTAGCTTAGTCGCTGTAGGGGCTTCTCGCGGCGACCCTCGCGCCCCTTTCTTTGAGGGGTGTTCCCCCGTTCCCCTTTTGCCCTCTCTTGCTTCTGCTGCTGCTGTCGACCTTGTTGGCACCGAGGAGGTCGGGGCTGCGTCTGCTCCTAGTGGGAGGCGCCGCAGTGGCAAGGGCAAGGTGGGCAGGGGTGGTGGAGGGGA